TTTGTATATAAACATGGCGTATAAACTAAGGTGTTATAGAGTTAACTCACTTAAAGTCTTTTAAAATTGTACTGGCTTAATAAAATGGATTAAGCCCTTAACTGGGAAATCGCTAGTTTTGTATACAAAAAGTACTGACTTTGAAAGGTAAGTTTTTTACCAGAATAACTGTGCGTTGACTCTGTGTCCTATGACCTGATCCATAACTGGTACCCTTATGATGACTTAATGTATACTAAGCATATATATATATATATATATATATATATATATATATATATATATATATATAGAGAGAGAGAGAGAGAGAGAGAGAGAGATTCGGGTAGATAATAGATTGGGTGACCTCAGTGTAAGCCCACATCCAACGGGAACATGACATACAGCGAAGAGCACACATCCTATTAGCTGTCGGAATCTACTTAGTATATATGTATCCTATAGTGTATACATTAAGGAATCATAACGTTAGCATTATGGTCCTAACTTTTTAAAAGTATCCTTCTACCAAGACTCAACTATTTTGAAAGTAGTCTTCTACCAAGACTCAACTGTTTTGAAAGTAGTCTTCTACCAAGACTCTACTGTTTTGAAAATAGTCGTCTACCAAGACTCTACTATTTTGAATGTAGTCTTCTACCAAGACTCTACTGTACGACTATTATTACTTAAATCTGATTTACCATATTGATGTTGTGAATAAGACACATGGTAAAGGTATTAATAATATTGTAACTGGAATTTTATATCCTTCTGTAATTGTCGTAATGACAGTGTAAGTACTGTAGTATTTGTAATAAGTGACTACTTTAGTACTATTGTACCTTATTTGACGGTTAAGGCATAATGTGATGGCTAGAACCTATGCTAGACGCTCCCTTGTCAAGAGATTCTAGGAACTTCACATGACACCTGCATGAGTGCAAGCCACGAACATCCACATTACTATGATAATGTATACCCAATATAACTATCACTAATGTAGAAGTGATTCATTGGCATAGTTAGATCCTGAAAACGTTCCATGCTATAGCACCTTATTATGTTCTGTTCTGTTATCGTGTATTGATATCGTATTTATGTAAATGTATTCCATGTAAGCGTATTGTATTTGTATAGACTTGTGAACTGAACTGACTCTTTGTGTGCTTCATTGTACTAGAAGTAATGGATAGTATACTCCTAAACTATACCTATAATAGTTTACTAAAGTTCTAACTGTATTGTTACTGAAAAGACTCATTTGTCTACCAAGTTATGCTTATACTTTAAAATGGAGTTTTGTACAACTATAAAGTAACACAACCTTTAAAAGAGTTTTGAAATGTATTGACAACTTATAAATGACATAAGTAACATTTTGAAAGATGTTTATAACAAACATTTACACAATTATCATTGTGTTCAACTTGTATCCCTCCCCCCTAAAACAGTTAAAATAATTTAAAAGATTCATCACGAGGTATGAACTCACTTGATGTGGGTGGTTCAAACACGTATGCGCGTATGGATGAGAAATTCCACAAATGAAGTCCCGAGACACAATAAGTCCTAAATGATATATATATATATATATATATATATATATATATATATATATATATATATATATATATATATAAGGACACATATTGACTTGAATATAGTGTTTTAAACAACTATATGAAAGATAACACCTTCCGGGACTAGGAAACACCTTGGCGAGGTGTTGGAATCACATGTGATTCAACAAAGGGAAGTGAAATGGCACTAATTGGTGTTTATGGTTTTGTAACCAACTCCACTTGATTAAACTCATGTTACTTTGACCATTTGGTGGTTTGAAGTCCTAGAAGTCCTTTTGAAGCATCCTAACTTCAAATCTTAGGCTTAGGAAGTGATTAGGGCAACATATCACCCCTTTATAGGGTTTACGGTTTTTGGACCATTTGTCCCAAAACCATTTTGGACCGTAAACTCAAAACTCTTGAAGTTTTGGGCACTTATTGCTACATAATAACCCTTAGGGTATCCACTCTCTAGTTATCTCTTGAAGTACTAACTTTAAACCACTCAAACTTATTCCAAAAAGATTGAAAGTTAGTAGAAATAGTTTTAACTCATATTGAAGTGGATGGTTGAACAGAATGGAAAGTTTTGGATTGTCACATCATATTCCCATCACCAACCCTAATAGGACAAAAAGGCATGAGATCAAAATCATGATTATTAAGCTGCACAAGCATCCTAATAACACCATCCTAAGGACCAATCGATCCTCTTCTCTGAGAGAGAGAGAGAGAGAGAGAGAGAGAGCTGCAACCACCGTCAGGACCATAAAGAGCTTTGGCAATTTTAACCCAGATCAAATCCGGATTATGAAAGAATCTCCAATGCCATCTATAGAGTAAAGTCCCGATTGAAGGAAAACAAATTGCCAATACAAAGACCCCCATCCTTTTTTTGAGCTAAGACTCTATCCCAGTGAACCCATTGCATGCATTTCTCATCTAAGTCTGCACCCCAAAAGAACATGGCTCGAAGAGACTCCCAGGTGTTAACAACAGAGATCAAAACCATGAAGATATACATCAAGTAACCGTCAAGGCTTCCAAGAACCGATTTGATAAGAAAAGAAACGACCTCCAGGCGAAAGGCATTTCGCTTTCCAACCCGAGAGTTTTGAGCGAAAACGATCAACAACTAAAGACCAAACTGAAATCCGAGACATATTCTGACCAACAGGGTCTCTAAATGAATAAAAGGACAAGAATCAGGAGCACACCCAACCTTACGAGCCGCTACCTCAACCTGAGCAAATGAACTCCCACTCCAATCAGCTTGCTTTTTCGTAAATTGATTTTGAGACCCGAAGCTAAATAAAAACACCGCAGGATACGAATGATACGGAAAACATTTTCAGGGTCCCATTTCGACATCAAGATAGCATCATCAGCATAAAACAAGTGTGAGATATCATATCCACTAATAGAAATGCCTCGAAACACATTTGCATTATGAGCTTTAAGTAAAGCTACATGGAGCCTTCCATCACCAGAATAAATAAATAAAAAAGGGACAAGCAGTCACCTTGTCTCATGCCATGTTGGATTTGGAATTCATTAGTAATGGACCCATTAACTAGAACAGAAACCCAAGCAGATCGGAGAAGCTCGATAATCCAATCACACCACAACTTACCAAAGCCCATAATCTGCATAATCTCCAAAAGATACTCCCACGAGACATAATCAAAAGTCTTCTCAAAATCCACATTAAAAATCATAAGTGGATTATTCGAAGACTTATTCCAAGCAGCCACCTCATTAAGAAGAAAAGGACCATCCAAGATTTGTCTACCTTTAACAAAAGCAGACTGCTCCAGACTAACAGTAGAACCAATAACCTTCACCAACCTATTAGCTAATAATTTACCAATAATTTTGTATTGGCAACCTATTAGACTAATAGGTCTAAAATCTATAAGATTCTTAGGGTCTCGAACTTTAGGATAACCGTAAAGAGAGAAGTGTTGCAACCTTTTGGAATCAAGTAGTGATTATGAAAATGTTGAATGAAATCTACCAAATCATCAAAAATAAGATCCCAAAATCTTTTCAAGAAACCAAAAGAGAAAGCATCCGGCCCAGGAGCCCGATCTGAACAACAATCCCAAACAGCCCTTTTTATATCATCACGAGAGAAAGGATCTTGAAGAAAAAGAACTTGATCTTCCGTGAGAGTAGGAAACAGATTAGGATCAATAGAAGGGCGTCTTCCTTTTTTCTCAAGAAAAGATTTTTATAATAATTTTGGAACTCCTTCTTAACCCTCCCAGGATCATCCACCCAAACACCATCAATCATCATACCTCTTATAGCAAGATGACACCTCTTCCGATTAATAATACCATGGAAAAATAACCAAAGTTCTCATCCCCTTCAATGGCCCACTGAATTTTCACTTTTTGTGCCATCTTTTCTCAAGAAAGATGAACCATGTCCGTCAATTCTTTAATAGCCAAAACTCTTTGTTCACGAAGATTAGCACTACCCCCGTCAAGTATACGAAAAGCATCAATCTCGTCAACCTTATCTTGAAGAGTTTTACATTTACTAATCAAATGATCTCGAGCACTAGAGTTCCATAATCTTAAGTTAGATTTAAGAAGTTGAAGCTTCTTCTTAAAAATAACCCAAGGATTATCAATCATATTCCTGACAACAATGGAGTTCCAAGAATTAAAAAGCACTTCATCAAAACCTTCCATCTCAAACCAAGAATGAAATATACGGAAAGGAGATGGACCATAATCCACACGATGCTCTAATAAAACAAGAGGGCGATGGTCTGGGATATTTTTGTCCAGAACCAAACCCATAATATGAGGAAAATGCAACAAGAGATCTTCAGAGACCAAAAAAAGATCAATTTTAAAAAAACTTGGCTCCCCATCTATCACTCCAAGTATAACGAGGCCCACCCATAGGAATATCAACTAACTCAGCCCGATCAATAAACTTATTAAAAGTTCTAGCGTGAATATGTTGGAACTGAGAACCAAATCTCTCGGACTCGTTTCTGACTTCATTAAAATCTCCCATGATCACACATTCTCTCGAGAAAGAAGCAATAAAGATAGAAATTGCATCCCAAAGTTGTCTTTACAATCGCCTCTTTGGGGAGCATAGATGGAAATCAGCAAGACATCCATTCTAGAGACAACCCACCCCTCCTCTCCACCACCACATACCAATCAGAAATGATTACTTTATTATGAATAAAGGTATTTGGGTCCCAGATAACCAAAATACCTCCTGAAGCACCGCGAGAAGGAGAAAATGCATGAGAAAATGCGAGGTTACCACAAAAAGAACGAACAAGAGAATGGTCAATTAGCTCCTTTTTCGTTTCTTGAATAGCAAAAAAGTTAACTTTAAATTTAACACAAAGAGATTTTATCCACACCCATTTCTATAAAGAACCCACTCCTTGAATATTGATAGATAAACAATTCATATCTAAATTTCTTTAGATCGCTCCTCTTGAATAGTATTTTTAACATGTTCAGAGCAACCACTCATATTGAGACCAATAATACCTCCCATTGCAATTGTTTTTTTGGATTCAACCACATTTGAGTCATTGGTGAGTGAACCTTCTGAGAACACATCTTTCTCTCCATGAATCATATTTGAGAAACCAGGCGGATGAGATAGAGAATCATCCGTAGATTGGATACCCAACATACAAATGTATCCACCTGAAAAACCAACCTGTGATGGTTTATTAGAAGCGTCTATTCCAATTTGAAATAGCCCTGAATTAGCAGCATGTGCTGAAGAGTTCTCGAAATTCACAACAGTAACTACTGTCGGGTTAGGTGAAGTAGCAGGGGCTGCTTGCAGTTCTTCAGCAGCAGCGGCAACTGGAATGTTGACAGTCGGACCAGGGACAGCGGAAGAATTTGACTATGAAGCAGCAAGAGAACTTGAAGCACAACATTCAACAAGAGAAGGGTAAAAAATGTTTTCTGTTGCTGAATTCCCATTTTGACCCTGAAGCGCTTCTCTATTATTTTTATGCTTTTTGACATTAACCCAACTATTAAATCCTTTTTAAATGTCATTGTTGACCTCATCCATTTTCATTTGTTCAATTGCATCATAAATACCAAAGAGGTCCGATGAAACATCCTCATTCCTATCAAAATATTGAGAGTGTTCTTCATTTTGGTCATTGTCTTGTAATTCACTTTCATCCAAGAAGATCATGAACAAAGGAGGGAGTCCACCCTAGAGCTTCTTTAACTCTAATCCAGTATGTACCCTCATCAAAACGAATTTTGATCACCTCTGAAATAATACTTTGATTAGATGTCAGTATACAGATCCTTTTCTTATAAATATCTTCCCCAATGTCATCATCTAACTGAGCAATTGTTCCCCATTTAGAAAGAATTTTTCTAAAAGGCTCTTTAATCCAAGCAGAAAGAGGTAATCCTTCAACATCAACCCACACTATACGTTCTGATGGAACAAAGGTTCGATCCCATTCTCTGTTTTCTAAAATCCAATGATCTATTGCTTTGCTACCCAAAAAGTTTTTGCATGCATTATTGGAAGTAAATTCAATCAACACCCACAAACCTCCAATATATCTCATTTCAAAAATATCAAAACTTTCATCCAGACAGAGCATCCGGAGATTAGGAAGTGTAGAAAAGTCTCTTGCCTTAACAAGGAATGCCCTTTGTTTTTTTCAACTATGAACTCTCCAGAATTAAGGTCAATGATCTCCTCCATGTTTTTACTGGTTCTAATATCATTGGTTGAGCCATGGACTACATTCGCATAGGACTTAACATTCATATTTCGATGAACCGTTGTGAAGTTAACAGCGGTTTGGGGTGTACGAAAATTGTTTTCCAAGGAACGGGGTAAGGAGGCAAACGTTTTATGTGAACCAAACCAAACATCACGAAGTTGTTTAATCAGAGAGTCACAATTGGTAACACCAAAAAACCTAATGAATTCAAATCATTTTCCCAATTTAGATAGTTTTTTTAGCAATAAACACATCAACTATCTTGCCCAAACGATTACAAGCTTGACTACATACCCTCTTAATGTCTCCGACTTGAACAAAACTCGGTAAATTGGTTATAAAGAGAGAGGTTATATCCGATCTTATGTGACCGTTTATTGAATCATGGCTGATATGCGGAACCCTACGGTTTCCATGCACGTTCCTATTCCGGTGACTGACTATCGTCCATGTATTATCTCCCATTGTATTGAAGAAGTGATCTCACCGGCATTTGATCCTGCCAGTGAAAACTTGAGGATGGGGAGGTTTTAGGATCTCACCCTATGATTAATCTTTTTTGGATAAAAATTAAAAAAATTAGCTATTCTCATTTTTTTTTAATAATACAACGAAAGAGACTTCTTATACAATACATATAAGAACATTGGTTATTCACATTTGTTTTTTTTTTTTTATTATATAACTTGCATGAAAATAAAAAAGAAAGTAATGATAAGAATGTAGAAAAAAAAATGAAGCATTGCATTATGGATACACGTTCACAAGACATTATAATGTCATATTTACTTCTTGGAGATTATGATAGATTCATGTAAAATACAAAAAAAAAAAAAATTACAGCAAAAAGAACATTATTATTGACAAGTTTTCATAAGTTTTTAATATATTTTACTTCATTTTCTTATGAAGATTAATAGTATTTCATGTTGATAAGTATGTATTATATGATCTCTTAAGTAGGTCATGGTCTAATTAAATACCACCATGTTTGAATATATATATATATATATATATATATATATATATATATATATATATATATATATATATATATATATATATATATATAAATATCGGAAAATGGAATATACATTACAACCCCACCTAAGCTTAGGTACTAAACCTCTTGAAAATACATTGTTTTACTATATAAAGATTACGGTTAATGGATTCACGATTAATACTTCAAGATGTAAATTCAAGATCGACACAATAAAGTTTTAGGTTTAGGGTTCAAGGTTTAGATTTAGGGTTTAGGTTTAGGTTTAGGGTTTAGGGTTTCGGGTTTAGATTTAGGGTTTAGGGTTTAGATTTAGGGTTTAGGGTTTAAATTTAGGGTTTAGGGTTTAGGTTTAGGGTTTAGTAATGTTCACTTGGGTGAAGTAATAAACGATAATTGAGGAAAGAAAACTTGGATGATAAAACGATAATGAAAGAAAGAAATGTTGTGGAAGATGATATATTTACCAAGTGAAACTAAACCGGGTATATCTAGCATGTTAAAACGATATATTTTAAAAGTTTAGTACTTAAGATTAGGTAGGGTTGTAATGTATATTCCCTATCCTATATATATATATATATATATATATATATATATATATATATATATATATATATATTCAAACGAGAACAATTCTTAATTTGAGAACAAATGAGAACAATATTGACAATGCGGCAATTTTGTAAATATGTAAAATTAAAATTGGAGATGTAAAGATGAAAGATTAAAAATAAACCGGACCTGACCCCATCCCAGCCCACCCCTACCCATTCTACCTGTGTCATTTTTCTCGTCTCATTTTCACGTTGGGCGACCATCGAGCCCATTTTCATCCTATAGAGAAGGAGCTCATCGTTCACTATATTTGCTATATGTCCCAATCGCCAACAAATTTCATTGGTTTCGATACTCTACCATCCACCATCGACAATGTTGATCTCTACAAACAAGATCCATAGGAGCTTCATGGTGGTTGGTACGTTTTGTTTTCAATTCTATACATCTTATGCACAATCTACAACTCATTTAAGCCTGATGGATTTTTAACGTAAAACTCTTCAGAAATCACTTGTTCATATTGATCTTTAAGTTAGGATTTTTCAGGACAAGAATTTGAACTCGATTTAGCTTGATCTCGATTGAAATGCATGCTCTCAATATTGAATTTGGATTTAATTGAATCAATTGGGTTTTTCTTGTCTTGTAAACTTTAAGTTCGTGAATTACACAATTACCACCGGTCGTTGCAAACCACCAATTTACCCTGCCGATCTATGTTGTCAAGAAGTCAAACTTATTAAATCCATAATAACCACTCCGTTTCAGATTACTCCTTAAATCTTCATATCACAGCTACAAACATTTCTTAATTCAGGTTGATTGATTTAACTTTTTCAATTAGAAGTGGTATTCAAAATTTGGTGAAGTCAAATGACCAAGTGCGTGTTTACGCTTTTTATTATTTGTAAATTGAATTTGATTTTAGGAGGCAATTGATCAACATGGATGTAGATGCAGGAGATGTAATGGATGTAGATGCAGGAGATGTATCAGTTGCCGGTCTAAAGGTAATTCTTTTTTGTTTTATTTGATATCCTTTTTCTCAAAATAGAAAAAGGCATTTGATGTCGAATGGTTTTTTTAGACTTATTAAATTTGTTTAGTTTTGAAAGTTTCGAGATAGAAAAGTTTGTAATTAATTTGATTTCTGAACTTAACTAAATTTACTTTGAAATTGGTTGCTACACTTTTGAGTTCATAGACTAAAGTAATAATGTACTGTAAGCAAAAATTGTGAAAAATCTGATTTTCGTTATTTTATTTGTTATATCCATACTTGGTGTGTTTGCTCTTGAATCCTATAAGTTAGCCATCATTTTATGGTTTCTCTTTGTTCAACACTTTTGTCCTCGTCATGTAATTTTCAAGGTTCATTTTTCATATTATGTTTAGGTGATTAGATACAAGGGTTGCATATAATTATGTTTTTTTAATAATTATATTTTTTAAGGATAAAAAAAGAATGCATGGGAGCTTACATTTAGTTAATATAGCCACTCACACTCTTGATGGGTTATGAGCATAACGGCATTCTTATGGTGTTCATGCAACCCTAATTGCTTTAATCTAGGTTTTTCTAAGTAAACATACAACATTGAATACCAAAATAATAAACCCTAATTAACTAGCATACGAATCTGAATCTGACATGTGATTAGGGTTAGAATGATCTTGATTGTTATGTAGCAATAACAATCACAATCATTCTTGATCTTGACTCTTGAAAGCTTAGTGCCTCAAGTGTTGTACCTTTAATGGAGTCACAAATACTCGAGCAACAAGATTAGGGTTAGAATCATTGGTCGAAAATCCTTTATTGATGGGGTCTATTTATACTTGTGGCTGCTAGGGTTTTAGGTGGAAACCTTAATATGACTGCTTAAGCCTTAAGCAACCCATGGACTCCTTCCTTAGATCCCTTTGGATGAAATCTTATGGGCTTCCCCATAAATTTCGCCCATTCCACTCTATGGAGTCCATCAGCACAACTAGCAACTAACAGTTAATTGCAATATCAGTCCCCTTTATTTAATCAGTCTCTTTTGATCACCAAATTAATACTAAATTAATTTCTTATCAATGCTAATTAAATAATATGATTTCAAAATAATATATTAAACTTGTAATATATTAATAAAACCAATTTGAGTATGAATTTATTATTCATATAATAAATTCTACTCTCTCTCCTCTTGTCATCCTATCAAGTTGCGTGAGTGAAAGCAACCCAAAATGACCATGCTCATAATCGGGTCAATTACATACCAAAAGAGTTATGGACTTAGACACCTAATCCAACAGTCTCCCACTTGGATAAGTCTAATAACTATTTTGCATATGACTTCCGAACCTAATCAGCAATCGTAGCTTTCAAAAGTCGTTGTCAACTCTGATCTTATCAGTAACGCGTCCTTTAGATAAGGGATCATATATTCCTCCATTCTAGATATCGTATGAGCTGGGACACGGATTTTAATCATACTCTCTATTCATGTATTGTTTCCTGATTTCCAATTTATAAAGACTGACAACAGACTACAATTGAACACATCAACTTAGTACCGGCTTGGCCAAGCACTTAGGGTGTCATTACTAAATCATCGAGGGGACCAAAGATATCGCTCTTATCCCACATTGGGTAAAAGGAACGGATAAACATTGACTCAAATGCTTGCTTGTACCTACTCATCAAATAACACACAACAATATGTTTTATAACACCAAGTTAATGGTGCGTTTACATATTATCAATGTGCAACCGACTTGCAAACTACAACTCACACGTCTCGGTTTCAAGAATGTAAGATATTATCGTCTCACTAATCACCCGTGATAAAATCCATGAAGTGATTCAAGTGAGCGTGGGTTTAATCCAATATTCAAATCTTATTTCAGGAGCACTCATGAACATTGCAGCAGACTTTTGCTATATCTAAAACGCTTTAGGCAATCTACAGTCATATTCATGATAGTCTTCTTTCATACCTACTTCCAAAGTATGATCGACTGTGGTTGGTTTGAATAATCTTATTATTCGGGACGTCAAAACATGCAAAACACAAGAATAATCGAACCCAATATAGCCCCAAACTTTTGAGTATAAATAAAACACATTTTATTTAGTCACCATATTGATTACACATTATTCATTGTATAATGTTTCGGATAATCAACATATCACTTGAATTATAACAACAGTTGTCTCATGCTCCAAGCATGCACACTATGTTTACCTATGTTCCTTACTATGTGAAATAGATCAATTGAACACATTTCCAATGATGCTCATTTCACAATTCCCAATCCTTATTACAAGTGTAAGAATACAAGATTCTCGCCACTATTAGAATATGTTATATTCTAACATTTTATGCAACGATCCCGTCCTAATGTCACAACATCAAAGCCACCAAGACTTTGCCAATGATATTACCAAGTGCTCTATTGGAGATTACTACAAGGCAATTCCATAGATATGAAGTCTCACATTCAAAGTACATTCCTTTGAACATCCTTCTTGCATAAAAGTTTTTAATCTAGATATAGATTCTCGATATCCAACTCCCAATATGGAAACATTTCCATATTTGTCATACGACAACTCATTATTAATAGAATCATATCTAATCATAATAATTTTATTATTGTCCATTCGTTACTATACTTCCAACTACCCACAAGTGATCAATCATTGGCGAACCTTAGATTGTCCTTGATAGTTGTTTAATTAATTTAGCCAAATCTGGTTCTAGTCCTTTTTCCCTCTTAATTCCCTAGGCATTGGAAAATTTTAGAACGTTCAAATGTTATAGCATATACAATCGGTCCTATATCCGAAGCGTATGGGACACAATTTATAACGAAAAACGTGATACTTTACCAGTTTTTTGCTATAATACTGCCATATAGAATGCCCCTATGTTAAACCTTTTCAACATAATATTCATATATGTCTTTTGACTAAATTTGATCAATTAAAATTTCTCGATCTAAGCTTTTAGATTTAAAATGAAGTATAATATTCTCTCTCTTGATTATAGCAAAATAACTTTTCAACCCCTACAACTATACAAAGTGAATCTTTTGTTTTCTATAATTAATTTGCTAACTTACAACACTTCAAATATTAATCATGCTCCTACTAACATGATAATTATATCCATACCAACATAACATTTATGCTCCCACTAGCTTTGGCACGTATTCAGAAAACAGTTGGACTTCTAGAAATCAATACTTATTGACTTCCAAAGTTCATATTTCTAATATGATATTCTTTGATAAGCCTTTATCTAAGTTTCTCAAACTTCATACACATTTCCTTAGATAACTTACATGTGTGTCTAAACTATTTCAGAACCTACAGCAGTAAGTCCCGAATATTCAGACTTGTTGCCATTTCTCACAATTCAAACTATGAAGAAGGATGTTGTAATCATAATCGAATTTGAGAATGCAAATATCACAATTGCTATCTCCTTAAAATCTCTCTTAATGAAAGCGTTTCCTCACAATCATTTTCATGAAGCGGAGAGAAACCTTATCACTTAGATTTTATGGTGTATGCGCTCCTATCCATGTGAATTTTTTGTAACCATAATCATAAGACAAGGTTTAAGACAAATCCAAACTCATATGGACTGAACTTGTTCATTCTTAATTTCTTGCCATCAAGGGTCCCATCATTGCTTCCAAGTTATTGAGTAGCTCACCCCTACCTATCAATGTACTTTCCATTGATCAGGGTGCCTTGCCCCTATGCAACCCATTGAGAACTCATAGAACTCACATGCATAGTTGACTAAACTAGAATGACACAGAAACAAGAATATGTCAACACGATAGGTTTTAGACCTCAAGTCGTGTTCTAGTGTCTAATAGGTTTACTCTTGATTAGTTCTTGAACCTTTTCAAGATCATTTAGACTCCTACTGACCTCTTGACATATAAGGTTCTCTTGTTAAGAAACATTTCTTGACAAACAAATATTCAGGAGTTAGTGAGGATTCTTATCAAGACAAACACTACACACAATTGGTCTTAGTTGGTCTTTATCTTATCCAAGACATCACAACTTACCAATTTCAAATGTGTAAGAGTAAGAAAAACATTTTTCTACTCCACATTTGATGAGTGTGTTAAAAACTTCTTAAGATATATCACTCAAGTCAGAATATTGGAGTATGACTCTAAGACTTGATTTTGGAACGAAGCATGATTCACCTTTTGATTTAACCATTTCAACAATTTCCTATTCCTCTTCTTAGCCATACTAGTGCACTAAGGTGTTCTTAGAGGATCAATTGTGATATGGTTTCATAATCAATAAGACGATTATAAAACATGATACTAAAGTACTATCCCATCTTTTCAGATTGGAGAAACTTTTATCTTTCTGTACAACTGATTCTTCTTAGTCGTTCTGCCATTCATTGAAACTTTCCAATGATTCAAAATTACACTTAATCTTGTTAGTATAACCATATTTACTAAAATTTTAGCAAGTCATGATGAATAATCTTATTGTTCTTTGTGGAGGACTTAACCAGTGCACAACATTGTGTTCTAGTCCTTTAGACCTTCACATGACTCACATACTTGTGTGAACAAGGAATTAGTCTTAATTTCCTAAGTACCAAGATTTCCATAAATCACATGACTCAAATCATATGATTCCAAGCTTATGTCCAATTGAAACTTGGGCGATGAGAATCTTTCCTTACTTAGAAAATTTTGACACTACCATAAATAATAAAACTAAGAATCCCATCCACTTAATATTGCTTATAATAGAAACACACAAGCATCAATTTTCACAAATAACATTGCAAGGAGATATAAATAAGACAAAACTCAAAATTTATTTTATTTATAGAAGGTGCGGAAAACTTGTCTTAAAACGCAAATTCGAATGAAAACTATGCTATTACATACTCCTAAGCAATCTATCATAACTCTAAGCAGCAGCTCAAAAATCCAATCATCAAATCATGCGATCGAAATCCATTTCTTCGCAATCAGACTCAACTCACTTCTTCATTAAAGCTTCCTTTCTTTTCTTCGATCCTACGAAACATCAAAATGTAGTCTTATCACATCATGTATTTAGAATCTAAAATAAAAAAACTTAATAGAATTAGATAGTGGATTTTACCTGAAGCAGAGTCGTACATCTTGACTCTCCCATCTCTTAGATCGCTCAGGTAGTCATGGCAACTTCGTAACCAATGCCCCCTATTTTGTCCGTAGAAACATATGGATTCTTCTGGAATGGTACACATGACTATCTTAGACTCGCCCTTTCTCTTGCATAGAGAAAACTTTTCTAGACTTCCAATGTTGCCATTACCCATAGAAGGATGGGACATTGATTTACCAGACAAATTTGCTTGATCAGTACGCCAAATCATCGTTAATTCAGCAGCAATAAGTAAATAAGTCAAATCAATGAGGTTCACGTCATGGTCCATCACATAGTACTCCCTAATGAGCTCACTACATGATTTGGGAAGTGACTGAAGAACCAAATCAACAACCAACTTCCTTGAGACATCGACACCCAACATTCTCAATCTATCAATATGCAACTTCATATCCAAGACATGAGCACATACAGACTTTTCATCTTTGTGTGTGTATATATATATATATATATATATATATATATATATATATATATATATATATATATATATCACATTAATAGACAAATATGGATTATGCTTTTAACAAAACCATAATTTCGGAAATTTCCTCATAACACCTTGCAACAGTTTTCCCACCCAAAATGAGTTCATCCACCGAGATGTTCTAGTAATTCTATAATGATTATGCAGAAAATGAGTTCATCCCATCCAAAATTATTTATACACCATCAACAATATTATTCATAGGCCACCCTTCCAATTTTACATTTATATCCTTACAGAAACTCTATATAAACCCAGCTCTCACTAATTCGTATACTCACCCTGACACCTACAATCACAATGACCTTCTCCACCATTTCCACTTACCTTCTCTTACCTCTTCTTTTTCACTTCGCCAGTGCCGCCGTTTTTAATATCCGAAACAACTGTCCATACACTGTCTGGGCTGGTGCAGTGCCGGGCGGTGGCCGACAGCTTAACCCAGGCCAAACCTGGACTTTAAATGTGGCAGCAGGCACAAAAGGAGCTCGTATATGGCCACGTACAAACTGCAACTTTGATGGGTCCGGTCGAGGCAGGTGTCAGACTGGTGACTGCAACGGCCTCCTCCGGTGCCAAAACTATGGCACACCACCTAACTCATTGGCCGAGTATGCTCTGAATCAATATAATAATCTTGACTTCTTCGACATTTCTCTTGTGGATGGATTCAATGTGCCAATTGAATTTAGCCCGAACTCTGGTGGGTGTACCCGAGGCATCAGATGTACAACGGACATCAATGGCCAATGCCCTAATGAGTTACGGGCTCCTGGTGGGTGCAATAACCCTTGCACGGTGTTCAAGACCGATCGATATTGTTGTAACTCAGGTAACTGTGGGCCAACTGATTTTTCTAGATTTTTCAAGGCTCGATGCCCTGATGCTTATAGCTACCCGAAAGATGATCAAACTAGCACGTTTACATGCCCTGGTGGAACCAACTACAGGGTTGTGTTTTGCCCTTGAACCTAGGTAGCTTGTTTGATTACGATGAGTTAAACAAGTTTAATCATATACAATAAGTAAAATAAATGCATGAAAATATAGCGATGCATGGTCGAATTATAATAAGGCTTATTCCTTGATGTAATAATGTTTTCGTTGTTGTATAATGTAATTTAAGACGTCTGTCTTGTGATTTTCTTTCTCTACTTGCTATTAATATCAATCATAAATGGACGGACTAAGATGATTATTATTCTGATTTTCTTTTAAGGATTGTTTCCTTTTTCTCATAATATTAATTTAAATTTCTTTTTCTGTATCCATGCCGATATGATGCTCACAAGTCATATGTTGACATTAGCTTCCGTAATAACGCACTTATTCTTTGTCAACAAGTCGGATTTGACCTGCAGATTGAAATGAATGATCTGATTTGATAACTTATGAGTTATGACTAAGATCAACCATGTTACTTTGATTAAAGTTGTTAATCACTTTCCTTTAGTATAAGATTTATTATTTTTAAAGAAAATTAAATATCATCCTATTTTTTGTTCCTACAAATCTTTCTACCCAATTAAATAGTAACATGTATAACATTTAATACTTATTTAATGATATTTAACGATATTTTAGTATATTAATATGATAAATGTCATTATTTAATTGGATAGGACAATTTGTAGAAATAAAAGTAAAAGGATATTTAATCACTCTTATTTATATATATATATGATTGTTAGTTTATTGTTAAAAAAAAATTTAGGTAAAATTAGCTAGCTATAAAATGCTTAATTTTTCATAAAAAAAATGCCTACACACTACAAGAAATGCGAGCATTTTAACGGCAACCTGTCGTCGTTGCCGTTAATGCGTACAGTCAGCGCAAATGCTATGTCACCAGTAATCCTTACATGTCGCCGCTAAAATTTTTTTTTATTATTATTTAACATTAAAATTATAAAAAAAAAAAAACAATATAACATGTATAAAACCTGCTACGAAACTTAATTTTGTAGAAAAATAGTTCAAAACTTTAACCACACTTAATACTATATTTAATCCAAAATATTAATCTATAAACATCCGGTCCAAAATACTCATCCAAAAAAAATGCAATACATCCAAAATACTAACCCACACAAAACATTTCATAAATTCTAAAAAAGTAGTTACTCGTCCTCATCACTCCCCTCGTTTCTTTCGTTTATATTTCGTGATGGCAATGAGCGAAACCAGTCTTCCAGTGGTGCACAACAGACCAGGTCTTTTAGCATTGTTTGCAGCATTTGCAACTACCAATAACCAAAACATATTACCAACATATCATAATAGCATTGTACTTTCCAAAAATTACCAAAATACAAAATACGAACATATCATTATAGCATTCTACTTTCCAAGTTAAACATATATCATACACAATATTGCATATACATTATTGCATTGTACATTTTTTTCATTTTTCCATTATAGCATTGTACTTTCCAAAAATTACCAAAATACAAAATACCAACATATCAAACCATAACCAACATATCATTATAACATTTTATTTTCCAAATACACTTAAACATACATCATACACAATATCGCATATACATTATAGCATTGTATTTTTTTCATTTTTCCATTATAGCATTGTACTTTCCAAAAAATTATGAAACTACAAAATACCTACATATCAAACTATAACCAAACTACATGATACACAATATTGCATATATATTATAACATTGTACTTTTTTCATTTTTCATTTTTATGATTCAAACAAGAAATAAAATTATTAGAAACTAGATGTTTGAAAACTTAATATCCCGGGTGACCCAATCGTTGATGCCAAAGAGAAGGAGTAATGGTTGCCAGAGCTTACAGAAGAGTAGAGGTGACGGGATAAAGGTCACCCGTGTTGTCATACCTAAGGAGCATTTGTTTGGTGTGGTAATCCTTCACACAAAAACAAAAGTGTCATATTAAATACCACACTTGTTATCACAAGTAAAACGATGAACAAAAATTAATTTTTTTTATGATAATAGGAGTGATGAGAATCCTTTTTACAGTGAGAGTACGATATGGGTTTGAGTTAGGAAGAATAGAATGACTAGAATTTTGAATAGGGATCTTAGAACCATCACCGACTATAACATATGAGGGTAAAATGTTTTTGTCACTATTAAAATTAAGTATACCTTCATTGGAGTGGAGGTGTGATGTAGCTCCTGATGGGGTTTTGATACAAAATATAAGTTTGTTTTTCACAAAAACCGCAACATAAGACCTTTAAAAAAATAACAAGTTTATTTTTAATCATAACAAAACCAAACCATCAATGATCCACTTATATGGGTTAGAATAAAATAAAGACAACCAAAGTGTAACACCCGGTTCCTGATACGTATTTAAATTTGGGTAATTTCATGTTTTGCTCTGGGAATCGGCGAGTTAGAGGCCCAACTCATCAAGTAGAATGGATTTCGTGTCGCGGGTTTAAGTGACCTACTCGACAAGTCGTGTAACATCCAGATTCCAAGGTATATTATTTATTCTTTTAATTTTTGGAGTTTGTGGAGGAACTCGGCGAGTTGGCGCCAAGACTCGCCGAGTAGGGACGCGGATGTTCATTTTAGTTCATGACCGGACTCGGCGAGTCCACGCTGTTTAGTGAAGCCCTAATTTCCAGGGCTTGGGACCTATTTAAAGGCCCTTATGGCCGTCCATTGTGGCTACTACCCCCCCCCCCGAGAGAGTCTCAGATCGTTTGAGAAGCAAGGAGTGACCATTATTGATCTTTGTGGTATCATTTAGTAAGAAGAAGGAGGTTCTAGCCAAGGGAAAGAAAAGGAGGTTGCTATTCTAAGGACTAAAAGCTAAGATCATTCATTTGAGGTATTATTTCGACTCTTCTTCTATTTTGGGAAGGATATGTGGTTTTAGGGTTTCTTGTACCGTTGACTAAGTTGATTTGAGGACCAAATAGCCCCTTTTGGAGATGAGGCTTTGTACCTGGACCCATAGAGGTCCAGAGAGCCTTATTTTTCAAGCTTTATGAAGAACAATGGAGGTCATGACCTTGGGTTAAGGTATTTGGGACAAAATCACCATTTGATGCCTATTGGTTGAGTTATAAGCATCAAGATTCAAACTTTATGAGACATTTATGCTTGAGAAGGCCAGATCTATGGATTAGGGGCACAGATCCGACCACAGGAGGTCAATAGAGTTTGTGCATGGCATGAACTCGCCGAGTTGTTCTTGGGACTCGGCGAGTAGGGTTAAGGTCCACGCAGATCACTCAGTGAGTAGACTTGCCGAGTTGGGGGATAACTTAGTGAGTCAGAAGGGGGTTAAAAGACTGGAGTTCAAGGCGGTACTCGCTGAGTTGTTCTTGAGACTCGGCGAGTTGAGTCGGGGTAGCCCCGCGATTGATGCCAGGTGTGACTCGTTGAGCATAGGGTAGGACTCGACGCACCAAGCGGGACAGAGAGTTGGTGGCAAGTGTGTACTCGCCGAGTCACCGGAGTGCACTCGGCGAGTTGGGTCAAAGTTGACCATTGACTTTTAAGGTTTGGTCAAAAATGGGGTCCTTGAGTCAAGAGGGGGGTAAAATAGTCTTTTACCCTTCTGAGGTTGACAATAGAGGACCGAGTCTAGCCTCGAGTGTTATGTTTATGAGGGTATTTACTTTGTGTGAATAGGCGGAGGCTAGGCAATACTTCTACCGAGTCAGAGATTTGCGAGACGTCTGAGGTGAGTCTTCTCACTATGCCTTACTCGATGGGGTAATTATATGTGACCGAAGGGTATTATGTGTATGATGTACATGTGATGTAAGTTATATGTGATATGTTATGTGATATGAGCATGATGTGGGCCGGAAGGTCAAAATGATACGGACCGGAAGGTCATCAAATTCTGGGATGGAAATCCCATGAGACACTTGGATCGGAAGGTCCTATGGCCTGGAAAGGCGTATGTGGTTTTTTGGGGAACTCACTAAGCATTTATGCTTACAGTGTTATGTGATATGTGTTTCAGGTACTAGCGATGATCGCGGGAAGGCGCAGGCATGATTCGTACACACGCACATTGGAGTTTAAACATTTTGATCTTGGGGTTTTGTACTGATACAATGTTTTATTTATGAATGCAAACTATATTTCATAGTTTTTCAAAAGTGAAAAATTGTTCAAATTTTTACGGTGTAACAAGTTGGTATCAGAGCCTTGGTTTGATGGATTCGGATACATCTTCGGGCGTATCTGAACTCAAACTGGGGATTTGAGGAATTTTTTTGTATAATAGATTGAAATTTTTGAAAAAGAGAAAAAGGGTTTTGAGACAAACGGAGCAGAGTCGTGTGTACGATCAGTCTGCACCCGAATGGTGATTTCCCAAAATACTCTCATAATAAGTGTTATCAGACATGCTATGTTATGCTATATGATGAATTATGATATGCATGCTAGAGTAGACTAGGTATTCTTATTAGGACTAGAGTAGCCTGATATATGATGCCTTAGTCTAGGGGTTTTGCTGCTAGAAATGCTTAAGAGTGTTTAGGTAGCAGCGAGGTGCTTATGAGAGAATCGCTAGCGAGTAGCACATGATAGTAAGAGTAGAGCACTTGGGATTTAGGGCTCAAGGAGGAGGACTTGGGATGAATGCCGATGCGGTATGGACGGTAGTATTGGGCCCGTACTACTGAAGATACCAGATTGGTGCGCAGTCCATGTAAGAATCCTTAGGGCGCTAAGGAACCAGTGGGGTGGAGTTATCGAGTTTGATTATACTCGAGTGGTTCCCTAATATTCTTATGTTGTATTTCAGAGGGAAATCATGGTTGGGACGCGCCACACACCAGAGGTCAACGGGACGAGTGATGAGGAGATCCGTAGGATCATCCACGAGGATGTGGTTGCGGCCATCAGGGCTGAGGTTCTAGAGATGTTCGGGTCTATTAAGACCACTTTGATTGAGACTTTTGATGAGCGGTATGCTGCTCTTTCTGATGCTGCTG